TCACCATCACAACTAGTCGCCGCCCTTGTGGATCAGAGAAAGATTTGCACCATGTGACTAGTTTTGTACCAAGACGGTGGTAAATCGTGGTATTGGTTTATTCTTAGCTGGGCTTCCTGATGGAAACGCCGTACTCCTTCTCAGCTTGGGATACTCTGCTGGGGGACGAATCCGCCTGTTGTACATCGCATTCCGTCACCCAGGAATATCTACCAGCCACGAAGAGGCGGTAAACTGTTGGGAGGTTTTTTCTGCAATAGCATAACGACAAAATCGAATTGACGAGCGGCCGTAAATAAAGCTTCGAGTAACTGAATATTACTACAAGAATTAAGGCTTTTGATTGATAAAGCAAGAGGGCAACTTATGGAATTACTTCACAAGTATACAGCGTTCTGGGTGAACAGACCCTATCGTACGAGAGTAAGCAGCAGTTATGGAGCTTTCTAAGTTCATAGACTGTTTTTGGGTCGTAAACTAACGGGTTCATAAATCTCCAATAGAGTCTGCAAATTCAAGTCCAGATTCCCAGAAGCCGGAAGTCCAGGTCAGAGTAAACATACGTCGCGACGGAGTCCATGGACTACCAGCGGCTAACCTTCTAGCAAAGGACTAAAAATTGACCTAATTGGAGAAATGTGGCGTCTTTTCCATGTTCAAAAAGAAAAAAAGCTAACCGAGTTTTTGTACATTATCAGTATGTTGTAAAAAACAAGAGTGAATATATTTGGTAGAGCCCAGTTTGAATCATTTGACTAAACGAGGAAAGACGGATTTTAAGTGGAATATGCTTTACACCAAGGTGTTGAGTTTCTGAAAACGTATTTGATTGACGGTTTTTGAATTAGAAGAAATGCCTATCAAACCGCTATTCTTTAAAATTTTCAAACATAAACTAGTCGTTAGCATGTTTTATGAAGAAGACGTCGTTGATATTTTCAATCAGCCTTAATCATTCGCATTCTTCCTTCAGTATTTTCGTCTCTCAAATTAGCTCTACAAAAAATCTGGTCTTTCTCAACTATTATTTTTTGCTTTAAAATATCTTTTGAGGACAATTGAGACATAATGAATTGCCTTTGCTGAATGGCGACAGATTTTGTTATTCACTTTGGTTCAAACGAAGTGCATTCAACAAAAGAGAATGAGATCTCATTATCATCAGAAATTTGTAGTCTTCTGGAAACATTAATGAGAGGAACGACAGATTTTAAATACAACAAAGCTTAACAGACGTTACAATTTCTACGGAGAAGTTTTCATGCACTAATCATTAGAGATCCATTGCAGATTTTTTACGTTTCATATTACTGTAATACATTTATGAGTTCTCAACGCACTTCAATAATTAGATAGTTCTAGTGTCATGTCGCTGTTAGAGGTGCCATTCAATCTACAAACGGTTTTGGTTTGGATATGTTCCTCGTCTTATCAAAGCCTCTGCCCTTCAGAGTAAGAGAATTGGTGCCAAATTTGTTTGGAAGGACAAAACACCAACTTGATACATCAGGTTCGGTGTAGGTGACTGTGTATGAGCCAAATTTGCATTCATTCATTTCGGTGAAGTTTAATGCATGGGGTATCCCTTGGGCATTGATCGATGTTTAACTCTTTGTACAGGGTTTATAACTAAACGATCAATATTATACCTTTTTATTTTCTGCCTACTATAACTTCGCGGCAGGGTAGTAAGCGAAATACAACCACAACGTTGCTGAGATATTTGCAAAAACCTGGACCGCAGGTGTCTATGGTGGGGAACGAACGCGCTATTGTCCTTTCCGGGGAGTAACGCGTTCATCACCACACCATGCGGGTCCTTTGTTTCGCCTGTCTCTCAGCTATTTCTATCGATCTTTGCCACAGCAATCACCCCGGTGAACGCGTTACTCCCCGGAAAGGACAATGACGCGTTCGTTCCCCACCATAGACACCTGCGGTCCAGGTTTTTGTAAATATCTCAGCAACGTTGTGGTTGTATTTAAACGATCAGTAGTTTCCAAAATCGGCTTTCCATTAACCTCTCCATGGGATTATAAATTCATCGTTTTCTTTCTCGGCAATCGCAAGGTTGTTAAGCAGCATACGTTTACTTCCATGCAATAACACACATACAACACAATCGTAGCTGACGTTTCGGCAATATCGCATTCTTCAGAGCCTGAAGGCTGCTGTGAGAAAAAGCGACGAATTTATAAATGATTAGTCATCTGTGAATTATCCTTCTACATAAATACCAAGATGATACATATCACATGACTTGAGCTCTCCAGTTCGCGGTTTCTCACAACCAACATCCATAGATGTTGGGTTTCATCCTGGGTTCGTCTGCATGTTGAGGATCTGACGTCCACTTTCCTCAGTGATATGGTGAGCAGTAGTAGAACATGTTTTCTTTGGAATCCAAAGCTAGGCATGCTAGATCATTCCTAGGTTTTCACTACAGTTCGGCCCATATGAAAACGTGAAAAGCTCTTCTAGCATGCGAATAAAATACAGAAGGCAGCATTTCCTGTTACTGGTGGTTATTCAGAGAAAACATGAATCTCCACGTTGTTAAGGAAAGCGTTGCATTCAGAAATTTTTACTATAGGCTAATAACTTACTGGAAGCCAAGAAAGGCAAGCACGTCCAAATATAGTGGCGTGTTGAACGACAACAATCTAAGGCACACAGGAGCGTTGTTACAGTAAAAAATTCGCGGAGAAAAAAATGTCACGTGTATTACAACCATGCTGATTCTAAGATATAAACAGAACTCGAAATCCCTCGTGAGCATCGAATCCGCGATTACCCCTTGGGAGGTGGGGGTGGGTGTCATGCGTTGTCAACTGCAGCTACTGAGACCCTTGCTTTGCCTTTCTTCTAGCCAGTTGCTTTATATTAGATATTAAACTGTTCAACCATTAAGCAAAAATTTCTTCCGCCAGCAGTTTTTCTATAATCGGATTCTTTATTCTTTTGCTTTACGACCCAGAAAAACTTTTTCACAAGTGCCACAAGAATTTCTTTTAGAATTTCTCTTAACCAGATCGTAGTTTTGTGTCGTATGATGATTATTCACTCTTAAATCCTCATGGCTATCATTGCAGGTTCGTTCCTCAATGTGTGTAGAATTAATTCTTTTAAGTATTTTTCCTGACAGTTTCTTTTTGGTTGTTCGTTTAACTGAAAAAATAATTTCAATACCTCTTGGTAAGACCTAACGTCCAAGAACCGAAAAAAAGTACTGTGAAGGGCAGGTTAACTATTTTCTACAGCAATGACAACTGGAATCTCTTCAGATATCTATAATAACCCTCCTAACATACCACGACAAATGATCCGTTTGTTAACGATAACGCACTCTTAGAAATCACACTTAAAAGCATTTAATGTACCTGGAAACGATTACTTTTCTGAAAGCCCGTACCACTAGCAGAAATTTTTCTATGATACCTACAGGATTACAGTGGCGAACTTATTTTAATGAGGAAATGAAAATGTGAGAAGTGTCACCACTAAGATAGCTTAAGTCGTTTATGCTTTTGCTTAGTGACTAGTACATAAAAAGGATTTAAACTCGTTGTTTTTTTAGTTCTGAAAGCGAAACTTAATGGCAAAATCGAAAAGTACGGTAGTGTTTGTTAAGAAAAGACGTTTAATATTATAATATAAATTGAGTGCAGCTCCTTATCACAGAGAAAGCACATTTAAAAAAGAAAATGCTTATAAGATCAGTCACTTATGCACTTAGCAACGATTATGTTCATTGAAGGTATTAACTCAATTCGATGCGGAAGAAAAAAGGAACTCAGGCTGATGCAGTAAAGTGAAAAAGCTCTTCTACTGAATCCTGAATCCACGTACCCATGGCATCTCGTCATTAATATGAAGGAGATCTATGAAAAAAAGCAGTAGTGATCAAGGATATTATCGTCTCTTATTAGAATTCTAGGCGATTATACAAAATAGCAATTTTCTATAAGCCTCGGCATAAATAGTCGACATATTTATTATTCATTTATACGTTCTTACAAAGTGATCATTTTGAACTGATGGGGGGTTGGTACAGGTTTTCGTTGTCGTTGTTGTCGTTGCTGTTGTTGTTGTTGTTGTTGTTGTGTTGTTGTTGTCGTTGTTGTTGTCGTTCTCGTTGTTGTTGGTATTGCTGGTCGATGGCTGACGTTTCGGCGATTTCGCCCACCTCACAGCCTAGACGTATTTTGTAAAAGGATAGTTTAATTATTTGGTGGAAAAAACGAAAGCATTAATGAAGATCTAACATACAAATAAACGCCATATTGATCAAAAACTACTCACTGTGCTGCTACAAGTGGGACTGCCCGCGTGTTGCTCACGGTGGACGACGAGCGAGACCCACCTAGGGGTCAAAATATCATTTTGAAATAAGGCGCCAGCTCGCGTGCGATAGTGAAGCATTTGTCCTCCCGGTTCATCTTTTCGTTTCTTAACACTTTAGGTGGGTCTCGGTTGTACCACGTGAACAACAAACAGGCAGTCCCACTCGTAAAAGCACGGTGAGTAGTTTTTGATCAAAATGGAGTTTATTTATATCTTAGATCTCCATTAATACTTTGGTTTTTTCACCGAATAATTATACTATTCTTGTACAAAATACGTCCAGGCTCTGAGGTGGGCGAAATCGCCGAAACGTCAGCCATCGACCAGCAATACCAACAACAACGAGAACAGCAACAATGGCAACGAAAATCTGTGCCAACCTCGCATCAGTTCAAAAATATCAGTTTATAACGTTATACAAATAAAGATATAAACGATTATTGTTAAATAATTTGACGTCAAGAGGCTCTATACTCTCCACGGATTGTACTACTTTCATAATTTATAATCACATTTCCTACTGTAATAGAATAAAAGGAGCCTTGTATGGACATATTTTTGTCATTTTATTTAGTGATTTGGAGGGAGGTATACAAATAAATAAGATGCATAAGTAATTTGTTACAGTTGCCATCTTCGGTGTTGCTTCAACGTCCATGCTGTCGTCGACCATCTACGTGCTTTGCATCGTTCACTTGTTGAACACATCGCACGAACTCAACGGACCAAAAATTATAGGTGGGAGTTTCGATTTTATGCAGTAGAGCAGTAAGAACTGTCTGTTGTAAAATATTAATGGATGGGCAAATGGATCAAAGAGAATTTGAATATCATACTGCAGAATGATGAATTTGACTCAAACCCGTGTTCATAGAATTTAGAGGGCTGCTAGAGGTAGAATAATATGCACCATGATTCGTTCCACTATAAATCTTTGGTAAAGTACCAGTTGTCATGTGGTGCAAACTGCAGATCGTCCTCATCCTAAGCTAGAGCCCCTCATTGCCCACTCAAAAAAGAGAAAATCGCACTTTTAGTATCATACCCTTTTTCAGTGTTTCTGACAAAGAGATAGCCACGAATAGTTTGGCAGGTACCGCCGTCGCGTTGGTATTCTCTTAGTCGGACTTCTTGACAGAAATTTTGAACTCACTCTCATCTTGAAAGATTTTAAGAAATAGAATGTATAAAATCGCGATGCTCTTTTCCAAAACTTTCTTTGTTCTTAGAAAAATAAGAGTTGTTCATACCTTTATATCCACATTGAACCTGGAAAAGGATGTTTTCATCCATTTTTCTTTCTTCTGAGGTTGGTTGGCGATTTGTACAAATGACTTACTGAGTTTATTTAGCATTGTTATCGGTGGCAGAGGCTATCATTCTATTGTTCACTGCGCTTTTCGTATGGGGTTTTTTTGCCGGTCGACAACGGTTTCTTCTACCATTCACTACACTCTCGTGCTTTTTGTTGTTTGCCGTCGTCGGTTTGTTGCTTTTTTTTCGTTTTTTTTTTTACTGTATTAATAACAAACTTCAGAGACCAGTGATTACACTCAATGCTAACGAATAATCTGAACTCGGTCACTTCTTTAAAGTAAGGGATTACTAAGCGAAAGCTATAGAAAAGAAAAGCTATTACTTAGTAGAGAGGGGAGCGTTTTTCGTAGTAGTTGTGGGAAAGATGAAGAGGCCAACAAAAATCAAAGCGAAAACGGTACTGTTAAGAGAAAACCCTTACCGGTCCACTTCTTGAAGGAAAATTTCTATTCCATTTAAACACATAGCGCTTCAGTGAAATAATGATGCTAGAATTTTCTATACGAAATTGAAGTAGTGTAGAAACGACAGCCCCCGCGAGGTATCGCAGAGAATATCGTAACATCTGTAACAGCAAAATTTGCCACCTTTTTTATATCATATTATTTTAAATTATGCTATCAAAAAGCTTTTTCAACTTGTTATCTTTTTTCAAATAAATCCAACTATATTTAGGAACTTTAATAGCCACCATCGTTATGAGCGGAGATGAGTTCAAGACCGCACTGGCAAAGTCCGACGGAGATAATGGCAGCAGCATAGCTGACCTCGTTATATTTCGGTGAGTTTGTTGCTCAGTACTTCTTGATTAGATACTTTGACTACCAGTTTTCGTAACGTAGTTTTCATTCTCTCTAAGATATCGTGATCACGAGCATATGTGTGGGTTATTTCTTGCGTTATGGTATCTACGAGACTCATACCCTTTTTTAAAGAGTACAAGGGCGGGCTGGGCCAGAAAGTGTTCTGTGAGTCAGCATTTACAGAGGTAATCAAGGTTCTCTCACTAAGTTGGACCGGTCTATCATTAGCTTGTCATCAGTCCGTCGGATGATAAATCACAAGAATTGCTTTCATCTCGGAAGAATCCTAATCATGAGGTAGCAGATATGTCTCTGTTACAAAAGGGAAGAAGACTGCAGCTGAGAAAGTAGAGGGTTGCTATTATCTGGTCAAGGGATCGCCATTGCTTGGATATCCCAGAAGTGCAAGCTAAGCCACCGTTATTCACCATTAATGATGTCAGTGGGAAAAAAAGACAATGGATCGGTTACATAGTTATCTTTGTCACTATCAATAATGCATATAATGCACGTAATGTATTTGATGCACAGAATATAGAGTAATTCAACAACGAAGAAAAGGAATGGAATGAGCTACGAGGCTACATTTACGAAAATATCAGTTTAGCATCGAAGGAAGTAGGTAATTCATTAAATAAACTTACGGACGATCATCTTACAATTTATTCCCGTAGGGTGGTCATGTAGAATTTGGTATTCCGGAACAATGCAAGATATAATATCACCATGTGGGCAAATATTTTCGGTTTTCGAGGAAAAGCAGTTTCCTTTACGAGACGCGTTGTTTTGATTTGGTGACGATGACGTGTGTCCCAACTCTAAATTTAATCCTCTCACACGTGATATTCCACCTTATAACGCTGCGTGCGACAAAGCTTTCCCGGTAAACATATTTCTTTTGTCCATTATTCATGAGAGTACTTTCAGGTGGTTACCAATTCCCGCCTCAGTGATTCGACTTTTAGGGACTGAATATTATTTCTCAAGAAGATGTACAATATATCCAAAAAGATAATAATTGTCAGTTTAAGCACAGGTACCTAGTAAGTCAGTGTGTTCGTTCATCTTGGTCTGACAGATAAGTTAGCGGCTTCTACTTAAATGATTCTGCATAATCATAGTTGTTCTCTATAGTGTGGTCCTTTTGATCAAATCGGCGATTTTTCTTTGCAAAAAAGCCTTAAAATGACGATAAGTTGACACCAATCACCCGGCCTCTAATGCGCCTGGTTTCACAAATGGCTCGAGAACGGTACCAAGTCCTTGTATCTCGTCAAAGTAAGGCATAAAGGGATAAAGTACTCGGTGTTGTTTAATCCGTGAGGAATACGCCTGGCGCTAGACTACGTCCAGGCATGGCAGAGGTAGAATGCATATTTGACATATACATTTAGTGGCCTACCGATGTAACAGGTCAGTGTTGCTATCCTTCGAGACACCTCTGGTAGCAGTTTACCGACCGATGAGGGTTAGAACGTTTGGTGAGTCCGATATCGAACCAGAGATCGGCCAATTGCCGGTTTTTTTCCAAAGCTCTGTGAGATTGGAGGTTTGTTTAATCGGACGTGAGCTGGGGAATCAAATGTATGATCAAGTATATAATGCATAGCACCTATGGCCATTGCGGTACACACTCCCCTTTGTCACTACCAAGCCTCCAAAATAACCGCACCAATCCGGCGTGTTACGTAACGCCGTGAACATTGAATACGTATATTTTCAGAGTCGCTCTTGGTGTGGTGTCATTAGTGCTGGCTATTGAGATGTACGTCTACATTCGTTTATATCTACACCTCAAAGCTGTAAGACAAATCCCATCACGGTAGAAGCAGTGAAGTGAAGGAACGTTTTTGTACAAGTGTACTTCTTCACATCACGGTCACATTTTCGGCAGCAGATTTAATCTGGCGAATTTTTGTTGGGGCGTTTTCAGAGCGATATCTGTTTTGTTCCAAAAACGATATTTGAATTCACGACTGTATTCCTTATTATTTAGCACCACATCTTAGATTAATATTACTCTTTATCGGGTAAGCACAATCTACCGGCAACGGAACAATTAAATTCGAATATTCGATTGCTCACTGTTGCGAGGCTACATAGAAAAGTCGAATACTCGGATATACATAGGTAAAAAAGTCCACGAAACTTTCGGAATTTAGAAGTTTTCAAAGGCAACTAATATCTTGGCTCATTCCGACAACATTGCGGATTTGTCCGTATATGTGATAATTCGCAGTAAAATAAGAATGAAGTCCTTTGAACGCATGGCATGCGATTTCGTCTGTAAATAGAGGCAACGGAAGATTTCCTGGTTCCCAAAGAAATCCTGTTTCTGATAATTTCGTTTTTTTCAAAAATTTCTACTACAGTAGTAGCGGAAACTGAGGAGAATCGTGGCCAATAGACCATATCGAACTTTTTAAAAGTTCCATACAACATAGTGAGAAAATTTTGAATAAATGATTGAGATTGATTTCCCAGGATATCGATCGATTTTCGTCGTTGAAATCCGAATGTTACGGTTTGAGCTCACTTTCTTCGTTATTTATTTGGTATGTATTAGAGTATTGTAAAATCTAAGACAGTTTTTCTTCCTTAAAGAAATTTTTTGATCTGAAATCTTTAATGCCGCTCGCATGTTTGTAAATATGAGTAGTGTCGTCGGTGAATAAATGACTTCTTAAAGCTTTCATAAAAGACACAAAAAAGAGTGCTATTTCTTCTTGGTTTCGACTTCTGCTTCGTTACGATCTCGTCTGAACTACGGTCTTGAATAACAGTGCATTAGATCTATTGACGCACACTAGACTCACTGGAACATCGTTAACGTATGTGGCTTCCGTGCAACTGGAAAAAAGAAACGAACAATCTCAAGAGAACTGCTCTCCGCAGTATCAACACCTAAACTTTAGTGCATATTAAGTATTAACCAACTCTTAAAGTGAGTATACTTAGCTAGCACGGCGGACGACAGCGGACTAGTGATGGATACTCTCTTGCGAAAAATTCTGAAAGTAGACCAACCACACTGAAAATGAGGTACTCTTAGTACGAATTAAGAAAGCGGTGTCCATTGGGCAACTTTCATTCGTGACTAGGGCGGCTTAATCGAGCTGCTTGCCGATTGTGTAAGAGATTGTGAATTATTGAAATGTTTTTCAGAAGAGTCTCACGTCTGTTTGTTAGTAAAGCGACAAATGATTGGTCTATTGATTGACTTTATCACTGTGGAGAGCAAGTAGATAAGAAATAACGCTAAGGTCAGAACGAAGAACATTGCGTGTCTCACTTTAATGATTTGTTATAGTTTAAAAATGGAAAAAGACTACTGAAAGAAATAAATAGGAATAACCGAAGAGATGAAAAGAAGTGCCTGAATTTTTTTCGTATGCTGAAAGTGTTCATTCTTGACTGATCCACGATATTTGTATTGAACTCGCACTGATCGTCGACCAAAGTCGAAATTATCGAATCGCGTTTCATTTCTCCATAGCAATCGATTGAAACGGCGAAGGAATCTGGCGAAGCGCCGCGTAAGTCGATAACGCTGGGTCGCTCGTAACCGTAATAGATATCTGGGGCCCCTGAAAACAGCAATAACAACGGTAAGAACGAAACTAGAGATAAATATATTTGATCATCCTAGATTTCTGGGGAACAAGTCTGAAACGAATAAAATTGCTGTTTATTCTCGACAAAGTTGATGCATTTAATAGTCTCCACAAATTTTGTGCTGTTCGTCGAGTGTAAATACTCTTTCTTCACGATCAAAAAAAACTTGATATCCTCGGACGGAACTTGAGGACGAGAAAACTCAAAGTTGTTATTGATGCCATCTCTTATTGCATGAGCAAATAATTTTGATTGATCGAATATTACTCGAATATTTGACCAGTGGAATGTGGACGGATATTCGACTGACTCGAGCGCTCGATGAAACGGCAGTGGTAGATTGATCACCTAGTGTTTTAGCGACAGGATAATTTTTTTTTGTTATTCAATCCGACGTAACTGTTTTCTTTGAGACCAGATTCCATCAGCAGCAATGACGTCGGCAGTACTCTGACAGCAACAGAAGGCAGATTAGCGCATTCTGATGACGGAGGGTTCGAAAGTGTTGAGGCATTTTTAATGGACGGAAGATTAATCTATAAAGAGATAGTCTTTTTACGAAAAGGTAAAAGAATTCATGCGTAAAATTCCGGGAAATCCTAGTGACTCAATTCTTGATGTCGTTGTAGCGATTATTGTTGTTGAACTTAGTCGGATGAAAACCAAACTTTACTAAATGAAACAAAAAGCTCAGTAAAAAGAAAAAACAAAGAAGGAAGAAAAACTATAAATGGGTCTGGTCTAAGAACTCCGTTTCTCTGTGCTTTCACTTCTGCTAGGTGTCAGTGATTCCTTTGTGCTATCACTGGCACCACAGAGAGGGTGTTATTCCTCTACGGTAACTTTTTTCACTAGAGTAATTTTTTCTCCGATGGCTCTAGGTCTCATCTTTTTATGAAAAAAAGAAGATTAAAAAAACCCACTGTTACCTCATTCAATCGAGCCATCATCTCCAATTGCGCAAGATCTGTTACCGAAAGTTGCGGTGGATCCGGTAACGAGTCCATTAACAACGGTAATACGTTGCGTAAACTATGAATGTAAATGTCATTAGAGCTCCAAATTTGTATTCTGTAGAGATCACAAAAATATTACCTTTCAGCTTGGTTTTTATGCAATTCGTGGATGCTTAAATGTTCGGCTCTAGTGCATGATGGTGGTGAGTCGATTTGCAGTCCTTTTGCAAGCTCTCTGTAAACGAAAGCGTATCATCGTGAAGATATTCCAATCTCAATGCTGAAATAAATATTGGTTTGTTCAGTCATACTTCCACAGTTTCCCTTTCCACTGCATGATTTTGCTGTAGTATCATTGATAAATGGGATGTTTCTAGCCTAAATGTTAGAGGTGATCTGCTATATAGCTGCGTAATTGGTGGTTCAATCCCGCGCCATGCGTGCACCAAGCCTTCCATCCTTCCAGGGATTGCAAATTGACACTAGACTTGTCTATGAGAACAGTAGCACTGGTTCGATACAACCGCAAACAACCTTGAGTCATTGTATAGGTTAGATGCAATCAATCACTTCTAACGATGCTGAATGAAGTCCAATCTATGCGTACCCCTCAGAGATTGAATAGCACCGAACCGCATACGCTTTCTCATTGAAAGAGAGTGGTACATCCTTGCAAGATATATACAGTCTACCTTGAGTCCTACACTAATAAAGATTTTCATCCATCCGAGGTAGAAATGACATTGGATTTGCTTGGGTGAATAAAAACACTGGTATGATATAGGGACAGGTCACCACATTCATTGTTTAGGTCAAACATACATTCAATCATTTTAAGATGAGAGGAATGGAGCAAAACGGACGTCTCATTCTCAAACTACCTGAATCCATATACTAACAGAATGCACTTCTTATTCGACTACTATCCTGGTGATTGGGAAAGTACTTTTATTCGTGCTATTGAGGCTTCCTCTTCATGGCTTTAACAAGTCGTCGCCACAGGTCGTTGCAGAACCTTGTGGGTATGAAATACATTTGCTACTTCCTCTGCTGCTAAACATCAACCAGAACTTTCTAGCATTGTTAACCTTGTCCGGATAATTGCATATTTATGTCGAAATACGTTTTGGCTTGGGAGACCATAGTGGATGCATTGGTAATATTTCCTTTTTGAACGCGCCGTAGCTCAACATCAATGATGTCCAAAATAGCCACAATGAATCGAGCCAGTGGAAAGATGGACATGATATAAATATTTAAACGTAATTGACCATCTTCGCAAATCGTAGGTAATCGTAAGAGCCTGAGTGCAACATCCATTTTGGTTTTAATTTGCTGCTTAACTCGGTTTCTTTCCTTGGAGCCTCGCAAGGCATCCTAGAGGATTGCTAGGTCGCAAACAATTTACAGATAGTGATCATGTTATTAATGTTATGACTTCGACTGCTACTTCAGTTTAACTGGATCCATTGCGATTAGTGCTCCCCAGATCATTGCCTTTGAGGGTGAATGATTGCTGATAGCAACGACAAATTTAAACTATGAGTGAGAGAGAAAAGGAGGAGCCTAGGTTGCCAGGGTGGATAATACATGAGCCCTTGGAAAGGGAAATTGCGAGTTTGAGACCAAACTGAGGTTCCAAATTTTGCTCTGTTAAGATCTCAGCATGCCTCGGCTTCGTTTCACATTGTATTCTTTTATAAAAAACGAATAAACAGTAAATAAAAAGTTAGGACACAGTGTCTATTCCGTTGTCGGGGTAGCAGTGACTAACTTTTAAATGGGTTTCCTAATGGAAATGACAGACGTTATCGTTTAACGTTTGAGAACTCTGAGTGGAGATAGACCTCAGCAGTGCGCCGCTTTTTCACACCGCTACGAAATAAATGCCGGCCTCTATAAGGTTGAATCTATTAGGGACTGTAAATCTAAAGGAGTTTAATAGTAGATATTAACTATATGCTTTTGATAATCTAGGAGGATAATAACAGCAGATCTTTAGCAGATCATACCTTCCAGATCTTTTGCCAAATGATGGTAAATTGTTGAACTTCATTTTGATTGCTGACATCTTTCCCGATATGAAAGGCGGTGTTGATGAAAACGAATCGACTGGCTAAAATAAAAGAATCTTGAAGAGAGAGAAGAAAAAAATTTTGAAATTTATTTTATTTTATACGACCCGTGCTCAAATCTACTGTGTTGATCCCAACACTTCCCACATTCGATTCCTTTTCTCGGATCCATCATCCACTAAGGTCTTCCAACTTTTACGTTTGGCTTCGTCTGCTGCGTGAAGAATTTCCTATCACCGTGAATGTCGTTGAATGTTGCTCGAGTCGATTCTCACTGGTGCCTTGAGAAAACCAAGCTTGAGCGTTCCCAGTTGGAGTGCAAAGAGTGATTTTCTTCGGCCAAGCCAGCTAGCAATTTTCCGACCCTAGAAGGATGAAACTTGATGATCCTGGAAAAGGATCGAAGCAGTACAGTGCTCTTGATGACCGGGATCACTACCACTGCGCTATCCGCTCCCTTAAAAGGAAAAAGAAGAGAGAACTATGAAATGGAAGGTTTTTTGTGTAACTATCAGATATTTTCTAATTCGTAAGGCACTTTAATCAACATTCGCCGTTTTTGATTTGTTATTCAGTTTTCGGTAGAATCAGAACAAACGACGTCCTGTTATCTTCGTTAAGATTTTGTACTGCTGTTCATTCTATCCTATTTCGAACGATTCCTAGTAATTCTTCGTTTAATGCTAACATTTTATTTGCGGCCTACTATAAATTTCTTCTATCGTATAATGCGTAATACGAAATACAAGCACAATGATGCTGAGATATTTGCAAAAATCCAGATCGCAGGTGACTGCGCTGGGCAACGAACGCGACTCTAGTCGTCAACCACATGCGACGCTGATTAGCGGCTCTTCTTCAGTGGAAGGCACGTAAAAACCGGCTCTGAAGAAGGCGACACTGCTGGAACGTCAGCTACGATTGTGTTGTATGTGTGTTATTGTATGGAAGTAAGCGTGTGCTGTTTAGCAACCTCGCCATTGCGGAGAAAGAAAACGACGAATTTATAAGTAGCGAATATTGAATCCTGGCGAAATGGGCAGAATGCCAAGAACCTGAGAATTAATAGTAGGGAAGAATGTCCATAGATAACACGTGATCTAGGCCATCATGTCAGAGTTGCTTTTGATGATGGAAGGTGCAGTCGTCAACCATATGCGACTCTGAGCGCCTGTTTTTCCACGGTGGAAGACAGGTGAAAAAAGAGGTGGGTTTTTCGAGAATCCGGTGATCGTGTAATTATCGTTCAGATTTCCATCTTTCTGTTTGTGCTGTTGAAGCTTTTGACCTAGTAAGTTGCGTATTAGTGCATCATTCCAGGCTTTGAAAAAGGCGATTTTGCCGAAACGTCAGCTACGGTTGTGTTGCATGTGTGTTATTGTATGGAAGTAAACGTACGCTGTTCAACAACCTCGTGATTGCTGAGAAAGAAAACGACGAATTTATAATCCTATGGAGAGGTTAGTAGAAAGTCGATCCTGGAAACTGTTACAATAGGAATATTTCGTAGGAATTACATGTGCTGCTTATTAATGCCGAGGTCGGGACGGGAAAAGCGGAGTGATTAGTGATGCCGTCTAAAAGAAAGCAGAAGCGCTAGTTCAATCCTCGCCGCTCTCTTCCAGTCCAGGTGGGAACCCCTTAACCCAGCTTTCTCCAAGATTGCAAACAGAATTAACTCGACCAGCATTCTACAGCGCTCATAAAGAAGACAAAATCCTCAAACATCAGCTGATTTCACATGCGAAATTTTCGGAGACCACTGTGGATATTAAACGCGAGAAATGTGAATCGAATGCAAGAAGTGCTGGGACCCACGCGGTAGATGTGATGACTGGCCATATAAATAATAAACAAATGCCAGGTTTACAGAGAGTCAGCCTTTTGAGTTATTATGAAATCCATACCCATTTTATCAAACTAACGTTTTACTTAGGGGGCGCGTGTGGCGCAGTGGTTGGAGGGCCACTGCGACGCACATGTAGTCGATTCCCGTGCCCATGGCTGGCCAAGCTTTCCATCCTTATGGGGTCGGCAAATTGGTACCAGACTTCTTCGGGAGGATAGCAGTACTGGCCCGTTACATCGATATGCCACCGCGAGTCATTGTAAAGACCAGATATGTATTTAATCACCCTCAAACGATGATTAATGAAGTCGAATGCACGGCGCATCCCTCAGGGATTGATCGATGCCAAGAAATTTATCCTTTATCCTTTTGACGTTTTACTTAAAAGGGAGCACCAACCTGGCGGTCTACACTTTTATGACACTTCAAACTAATTATTAAAAAATTGTCAATAATCTTAACTCTTTTATTTACTGCCTTTTTCTTCTTAATGGCAGGGTATGTTGTGAAATATAACTCGTATGGATGGTGTAGTGGTGAAGTGCGCTGCTCCCCGGTAAGGACAACAGCGCGTGTTCGTTCCCCACTGCATACACCTGTGGTCCGGAGTTTTGCAGGTATCTCAGCATTTCAAACGAGTTATATTGTCAATAATGTTTATTTCTGTTCGTTTTCTTGCTGAAGATATGTCAAGCATGTTGAAAAGAGCTTACATGAAGTATACGAAGACGTAAGGGTGCTCGTTTTGTTTTAGAACTATGAGATCTGTGGTCTATCATCTGAAAACAATTCGACGATTGATTGAAGATTTTGTGGAACGGAATAGATAATTAGTAAAAAGGGCTAAAATGTGTAAAAAACGGAATTCAAAGTCTTTTCCAATATTTCTATTAGTAAATCTGCTCCCTTTCCCAGCCTTAAATATTTTAAATACATTAGATTTATTGGCTTATTTTCATAGGGTGTAGATCATTCGGCGATTTTTGCTATCCCTTGTCGAAGATATTTACATATAGGAAATCAGCAATGTTCAGTATAGATATTGATTGCTTGCTGATTTGAAGCGAAATCGGATGAAGAGCAAAATATGCCTAACTATAGCCGGTGACTTCTGTTTTTTGAGGTTTGCAGTTCCTATGTTTGTAATTCGCATGGTAATTTTACTCTTGAAATAATCGCTTACTAAGGCTCTCAACACAAAAGCTTCGCCCATAAGAATTAAAAAAGATTATAACGCAGAACTTTTATACTGCCTATTTTTACTAAATTATCTATTCTATTCTGCCTATAACTACTCTTCTACCTTATAACGATTATTTTTGCGAAGAATTCAAGTTTGGGAAGAATTTTCTGTAGCTCCTTTTTATTTTCTATTATCATCGCCGAGGTAAAGAACTTCAGTGGGAATCGGTATCCTATGATATCTTAGCAATAGCAAGAGCTATAGTATCTATAGCAATTATATGAATTATACGATCTCTCTTTATAGGGTTTCAAATAGCAAAGGAAGCTTTCAGAAAAATAAAAAAGAGAACGTCCTGTAAATCTTCCTGATTTCTCGTTCCACTATTTCTTTTATGGATTACAGTTAGTTGCTCGAATACTCTATCACAAGGAATGGGCTCCAGTGTTTCTTTTTTTCTATCATCGATACATTGATGAGTGATAATTTTGACAAGATTTGTTTTGTTATGTTGATGATTTGAAAAGTATCTAGAGTATTAAGTAGTACGTAGAGTATAAAGCACTAAGTATTACGAAAAAGATTAGACTCAATACGACTACGAAGGCACCATATTGAGGAGACGAACGACTGTGGACGTCGACTCAGATCATCGGCTCTGAAGAAGACGAAAACCGAATAAATCTTCTTTATCAACCTAGTGTTAACTTAGCAATATTAGGAAGCACGTGGAGTGTTATGAAAACATACAGGTAATTAGGAATAATAGGGGCGGGTAGCGTAGTGATAGGGATACCGTTTATTAAGATCACGATTGTGGCTACCCGCATGTGCCCAGCAACCCTTTCACCCTCTGGAGTCGGCAATTTGGTGCTAGACTTGTCTTAGAATAAATACTTCACTCTCCGCAGTAGAAGTAGGAACGCTCTAGGCCAACCATCCTTGGATACCGGATAGAATTGATTCAACTAACACCTAACGGCACTAATAAAGAAAAAATTCCTCGAGCAGCAGCCGAACCCACGCATGAGAACTTCGAAGATCTTTACTGGTAATAGAGTCGAAGAAACGAATAGAATACAGAAAATGCGACGATTTTCATAGCAAATGTGAAAAAATCTAGTGCGAAACAAAAGAATTTTTTTTATTTTTCACCAATCATTCATATCTACTGCGCGGATCCCAGTACTTCTCGCATTCGATTCGTTTCCTTGCCTCCATCACCCACAACGGTCTCAGAGCTTCTAGTTTGCAGAGAAAGAACTTTTCGCGGACGAGTTTGGTACCAATTTCCTATCTGACTGGCATAACTATCACTGCTCTATCTCCACCTCTAATAAAAAAGTAGTAATCCAAAATAATAATGAAAACAGAAACAACAAAAGCAAAAATGGTAACAACGAAAAACAATAAGAAAATACTTAAATACATGGATGGGTCTTCTTCACTGGTTGTGCGAGGCAAGGCATAATTTACATCTGCTGGTTTCTCTACTGCGGTTCTGTGATGTGCTAAGGACAGTCTATCCGAAGGTTCCTCAGGATGTCACTACTCCAGGCACTCGCCGCCTTTGTGAATTAGAGCCAGATTTGCCACCATGCGACTAGCTTGATACCAGGACGGTGGTGATTCCAGGTATTGGCTTACTGTTAGCTAATCTTCCGGATGTAAACGTCGGAGTTCTTCTCAGCTTTGGAGGCCCTGCTGGAAGCACGAACCTGCTGTACACTGCAACCCGACACACGGGGACTCTACCAGCCAAAACGAGGTGGTAAACCGTTAAAATGAATAGTGAGAAGACAGGACAAATAAATATTTAAAAAGACTCCAAGATATTAGCCGAACCAGGAAAATGTTCGCAATTATTTTATAGAAAACCCTGATTCAACAAAAAATAGTTAAGTATACCAAATAAAAAATCATTTCAAAAAAACTTAAATCGAAGCGAAAGTGTGGAAAAGGTT